GTGTGGTAGACTCTTTTTTTTTTTTTTTTTTTTTGAGCCTGGGGCTTGAACCCAAGCTTTCCCACATGTTAAGCAAGTGCTCTACCACTGAGCTACACTTCCAGTCCCCTCTTCCTCAGTTGAACATAACATTGGCTCTCACCTTGACTCTAACAATGATGCTCCAAGTGGTCTCCCATTCAGGCTTTCCCAGCTTCCTAGAATCCACTATCCACTCAACAACTAGAGGGATCATCTTAAAATGTACAATTCTTGTCAGATCTGTACTACTCAACTTCTCTTCATTTTCATCATTAAGTTCAAAATTTTTGTAGGGCATGGTGGTACATGCCTGTAATCCCAGCAACTCTGGAGGCTGAGGCCCGAAGATCACAAGTTCAAGGCCAGCCCCAGCAATTTAATAAGGTCCTGAGTAACTTAGTGAGATCCTGTCTCAAAATTAAAAATTAAAAAGGATGGGGATGTAGCTTAGTGGTAAAAACCCCTGGGTCTAATCTCCAGTGCCCCCTCCCATCAAAAAACGACGACRACAACAAAATAAAACCCTTAGCATTGCTACAAGGCCTTTCCATCTGCTCCTGAACCACCTTTGCCAGTTGAGCTCCAGCCATGGACAGGGCTTCTCCCTGTTCTTGATCACAGGCGCTTCTATGTGCTTCAGGACCTCTGAGTGCACAGTAGTCTTAGCTTCAATGGCTCTTTTTCTTTTCTCCCCTTTCTCCTGCCTGAATTTTTTTTTTTTTTTGTCTTCTTTAAGGAAGCTTTTCTTAATCTATACTAGGCCCAGTCCCATAGCATGGCCACAGACTCCAAAAGGGCAAGGATTGTTTGACTGTAGCCCACTCTACCCCAGCATAGCACCTGGCTTAACAAATCTTATTGCATTAATAAGTAACTTTCCCTCCCACTCCTGAACCCAACTCCAGTGCTATCTACCCTCTCTTACTTAGTCTTCTTTCACTAAACGTATGATTCTATATTTTCTCCTTTCAGCTTTGGGGAAGGCCTCCCTAGTCACAGAACATATATGTAACTTTAAATAGTTGCTTTTGGAGCAAGAAAAAAAATCTGTGTCTTCTCTATCAAAGGGATAACTATAGCAGTAAAAATTTCAGGCCAGAGAGTAATATGTGGAGCCACAGCAGGCTTTGGGAAGGAGCCATATTAAAGCAATTATGGTAGCATTGCTTCTCCATTTTTACCCCTAAGAGGGCCTTCCTGCTTATGAGTTGAGTAGGTGCAAGATGAGAAAGGAAGAGACTTTGTACTGAATCAAGAGGAGAATTTTATTTTGTYTTGTCTTGTAAAGAAAGGAAGAGGGCTGGGAATGTAGYTCAGTGGTAGAGTACTTGCTTGGCATGCATAAGGCACTGGATTGATTCCCCTGCACTGCAAATAATAATAATCATAATAATGAAACTGATTCTTTTTTTTTTTTTCCTTTTTGGTACTGGGGATTGAACTCAGGGGTGCTTTACTATTGAGCTACATCTCCAGACTTTTTTTTGTTTTAGACAAGGTCTCCTGGTTGCTGAGGGTCTTGCCAAATTGCTGAGATTGGCCTTGAAACTGAGATCCTCTCATCTCAGCCTCCCAAGTCACTGGAATTACAGGTGTACACCA